GCACAACGAGCCTCTGGTTTATACCACCATGGAATATCTTTTGGAACAGCAGGAGGAGACCTGGTCTTCACAAGATTCTTCTGTATCAAGACAGGAAATGATTCTGCATACGACATCGAAATCGGATCAAACTGCATTTGCTTTTGAACACAACTTTGCTGATCAATATTTTGTTGTGTATGTTGTTGCTTACTTTTGTTATGAGATCTTCTACGCTTTCCTTGCAAAATAAAGTTAGCAACATATTCTTTCTCTTTGGAAAAACCATTTCCATACTTCTTAGAATTGCTAGAAGAACCATTTCCTTTGGTCAACCATCCTTTCTGGACACCTTCTTCGAGACACATCTCGGTAACATGACTGGAAGCGCTAATGGGAGCCACAGAAATGAGTGTTGAAATGATTTCAGAAATCACAGTCTTTTGTAGTGGAGTCTGAGAAACATGAGGAGAAAGTTGATTCTGAGCAACAACCAGAGTTTCAACCAAAGTAGAGATCCTTTCCATACCATCCCTCAAAGTAGCCAATTCCTCGCGAACCTCGCGATTCTCTTGTTGCAACTGATCCATCTTTAGCTCGAGTATTGTAGTGATGCGACAACTTGTCTGAACAAAGACCAAGAACAGGAAGTAAATAAGACACCCGGGAAAGGCAAGATACAATGCAGAATGATGCTTGATGTGCAAATGCAAATGCAAGTTTTCAAGGAACTATAAAGCAGTTTGCAAACATTACATTAAGATAACACATTGGATATACCAAAAATCTAATTTCATTAATATTGAAAGAATTACATCTTTGAAGTACAATTTCATCAATCTTACAACACAAGAGAGAATGAAGTCTAGTTCCAAGGAAACGTGTCCGAAAACGACCCAACTCTGAGCTGATACTTCTTGCGAAGCCTCTTGATTTATCTTACATAGTTGATCTTCATGGTGTCTTTCTCTTTCACGAGTTGATCCACAATAACCTTCCAAGAACCAGAGGTAGGAAGATGAGCAGATGATGATATGCTAGAGGAAAATAAATCCTCTGGATCCCTTGATCTCTTCATGACATGTCGCTCAAGAAACTCAATGAAGATTTTGCATACCCATAAGATACACATACTCCTCAAAGGTTGGCAATAACTGATAATCTGGAAAACTAAATCAATGATGCAACAGATCATAGAACTGGACCAAGGTATTAAGAATCCCCTCTTCAACATCAGTCCTTAGAATAATCAACAGTTTCCTAAACAACATTTGAAACCCACAGGACTAGATACCAAAGATCCAAACTTTCTCAACTCTTGTAAGTTAAAACTCGTGAAAATGTACTTCTTAGTGTTACTTCTTTCAATATCCATGATTCTAAAAAAAAATTGTGATATTTGCAAAAAGAAATCTCTGAGTTCCTTAAAAACCAACTGAAACACAATGCTCATGAATGCATGAGTGCAAGATGCAACACCCACAAACAAGACATACAAAGCACACAGGTTCAAAGGTTCGGCACGAGCATGGAGTCAAAGGTAAGAACCAACCAAACCACAATGGTATGTACTATGGTTATATCATCACCTGTAGAACAAGGTTCTAAAAAGTTCCCAGAGTCATAATTCCATCTTTTGGATATTATCGGCTTAAACGACTACTCGTCGGCCAACAATATTCTCAAGAGAAACTCATTTGAGTGTGGTATCGCGTAACGACCAATTCAAGTCTACACCTGAACAACCACCGCACCACGTCCTAATAAGGCCAAGATGGGTTAAAGGGTTCTAAGGTCCTCAGCTTCTTAGGCTCCCAGTCAGAAAAAGTAATATCAATTATGACTACTCGTAAGACATCAGTAATTTCCAAAGGGGCCTCCACCGAGCGGGGGATCTCAAGTCAGCTTAGTAAGGACTACTCCACGTAAGCCAACAAGACTATACCACCCTCCTATCATAAGTGCACTCAAGTCCGGGTATAGGACTTATCTCACCACACAGATTACCGGGCACCAAAACAGAACAATCAATAATAAACAAGTCAAACAGAAAGCGATAAATAAATCAAAGTAGGCGAAATCCACTAGGAACCGTTGGAATCCCCAGCAGAGTCGCCACTTTTCTGTAGCGGTAAAAATCGTGAGTGTAAGTTATTGATTAACTTAACTCAAAGAAAACAAGAGTCGCCACCGCACTTTTATTTTATCCCAAAAAGGAAAGGAAAAAGAGCGAACAAAACCAAAGAGTTCTAAAATAAGAACAAGAGACAGAGATCGGGGTAAGGGGGTTGGTTACGCAATGGGAAGGTGTTAGCACCCAAAACGTCTATAGTACTCTATAGGAGCCCTTTGAAATATTTACGTTTTTTTGGTTTGAAAATGGTTTGTTTGAAAAGAGATTGGGGAGATGAGAAGAGAATTATTTTTTAGATTTTTGTGTTTGGAGAGAATTATCGCCTCATGCCTACGTACCCACAAAGTGCAATATGGGATCAAAACCCCGTAGTTCGTGGTACAAATGACAAAAATTTGTTGGTTTTGATTGATTTTAGATGTAAAGACAAGTCATCATTTCGAGGAGAAAACTGCGACTATCCACCCACGGGTATTAAGACAACATCTGCGTCACATAAAGATGGAGGATTTGCTTGGATTATCAACAAGACTATCACTCAACATCAACGTGGAAAATGTCAAAGTCTTAATAATATGGGGAATAGGAGATTTACATCTCAACTATAGAAATGAATCATGTCTAAACTTTATGAAAAGTTTTAAAGTGAAAAAGTGCATAAAGGCACAAAAAGAGTTGATGAGTTTTTGTATTTTTTATGTCTTTTGAAATTGGTCAAAGTATGATTAACATTGATTGACTTTTATTAAGAAAAAAACAAAGTTTAAAAATCACTTGACGAAAGTCAAGGTTTTATTGCGAAAGCGGTTTTGAAGTTTGAAACCAAGAAGGTTTTGAAAGAGGGAGAAAGTTTTGAAAATTTAAGAAGGGGAGGAGATGAAGTGACTATCCTAGAAACCAAAATAAGAGCTAGAGGTAAGAAAGATCTAACCGACTTGTAGCACACTCCATAGCAAGCAAAAAGAATTTCATCCGATTTAAAGCATAAGCTAATGAGCGAGCCAAATAAAGGCTAAGATCCACAATACTCCAAGCATAGGAATGAAAGTCCTAATTCTAAGTCCAAAGGTCCATGAAGTCCAAGGTCTAAGAGTAGTCCAAGAGCATAACCACAAAGTTAACAACACCAAGTTTTTTAGAGATTTTTTATCCTTTATTAGTGTTTTGAACAAGATATGGTCCAAGTGGACAAAAGAGAAATGACATAAACATAAACAAAGATATGATATGAAATGATAATATGGAAACATAAAAGTAATAAATAAGGAGTAAAAAGAGAATATAAACAAAATTAAACAAGGATATTGTTAGTGAATTAGTAGTTAGTGGTTAGAACATATGATCAATGATGATTAATTCTTGTACTTAGACCAAGGTTAATGAAAACTCATTAGAGGATTGATAGAATCAAAGCCTCCTAACAATGACTTTCATAGGTAGTGGACTTAAGACAAGCAACTAATCATACTTGGACTTTCAAACATAAGTTTGAGCCACGAATGATCATTTTCCGATTAAGGGACACTTTAGCGCTATGTTAAGCAATCGTAATCGGGTTTATGTAGAAACCACGACTATCTGAGGCTGGTCAATAATAATGTTAGTGTTAACACATGTTAGAGAAGTGATATGTAAATCACTCTCCTAAAACATGCCACACAAAAAGAAAAGAGGTAGTGATCTCATCATAATCAAGATTTTTCATCAATTAATCAAAGGTAATCTATCACTATTCTAAAGTACGGAGAATTATCTCAATGATTATTCGTCCATAGATTTGAAATAATGAAGATTAAACAACCTTGATAATCAACAATCTATGATCCATAGATTTTATCGATCAAAAATAAAAAAGAAGAAGAAAGAAAATTAAAATGAAAAGAAATTTCAATTTGATTCTTAAATCGATTAAATCATCATCAATATCAATCACCTCTCTTGGTGGATAAAATCGCACCCAAAGTCCATTGATATTGATGAGATCTTATCAAAATTCAAGGTCCAAAACAAAATCTATTTTAAAAAATTATTTTAAAAGAAAAACAAATATTAGAAAAATTATTAAAAGAAAATTGAAAGAAAATCTTTAAAAAAAAAGAGAGAGGTTTTTAAAAGAAAAACAAATGGTGGCGGTGTTAGTAAAAAGGCCACACGGCCCAAATTCCTAAAAAAAGAAAAAAAAATTGAAATAATTGAAAAGGAAAAAAAAGAAAGAAAAAAAACAAATCAGACTCATCATCTTCTTCTTCTTCACACGCGGCACTATTCACCATAGCTTCGAATCAAAAATTCAACGGATCGGAACAGCGAATCTCCATTTTGGTGTCATCTCAACCAGAATCACAAGGTGAATCCAAATATACACAGAATTTCAACCAACAGAGCTCATACGAAAAGAGATTCAGAGACGAGAGTTCATCGGCAAAGCTCCAATACCTTCGAAAATGGAGAGTTTAGCTTCAATCTTCTTCTTCTTGCTTTTGTGAATGCGAATCCTATTGTGGTTGTTGAATGAAGTTGAAGTATAGTGAGATTTTATGTGGAAAGTTGAATTGGGTGAAGCTTGAAGAATGGTTGAGGATGAATTTCGAAGGTGAAATTTGAAGGGAAACTGAGGAGAAAAAATGTCAGAGTGATTTTGGCTTCAAAGCTTGAAGAAATGAATGAGGTATGTGTGGTATTTATAGATTGAGAGTGAGTGAAAAGTTTTGCCGTTTTGTGTTTTTTCATTGCGTTTTTGGTTGTTGCAAGTTATGCGTGACCTGCTGAAAATTCATGTCGTTTTTACTATTTTATCTTTTGCAGCTCACTCACGTGACATGGATTAGATGCTTTTGATTTCAGCTCAGATTTAAATATCTGACGTGGATTGGCTTTCATGGCTCACTTATATTTTGCACAGCTTGGCTCTCGTGGTATTTGTTTTTTGCTGCAGCTTGTGAACATGGCTTGGATACATGACGAATTTGCGTTCACCCTTATGTAAGCTCTTTGACAAGTATGACTCAGCAACTACAGAAAGAAGATCTTTCATCTGAATCTCAGCACCCATAAATGTGATTTGTCCATCAAGATGAACTGTAACCTTTGAAGTAAGTGCAGAATCTTGAAGAAAATACAGCAAAGGCTTCTTGATGTTGAATTTGTCATTAAGGTATAAAAGAGACGACGAGTCAGATGAGAATGGTTGTTGAGGTTCATTAATGGCTGACAACTGCAATTTCGTCAAGTCTAATAACAAGGATATATTTACACCATCTGTACGCGACTCGGCAGTCCCAGATTTTAGGAGATTTGAAACTGTATCCTGCTTAGTGCATTGCTCAACAATGCCAAAGCCTAAAAGTACTGCATTCGAGCAGGATTCTTGTGCATCGACTGATACCGGTGACCATTGGGCTGAGGAATCAACATTGACAAACTGATTGTCATCAAACCATTTATTTTGGGTTTTCATCGGCTCTACAAAAGGACTCGCCTTAAGAAAAGGATACTGATAATTGAGCATATCTGGTTTTGCAAAAGAAGAAGGTGCAAAAGTTTGACAATCCTTGATGTGTGATGTGGGGAAGGCAGTCTTGTTGTCTAGGAGATTTTTCCAAGCCTTGCCACTCAATATGTAGCGGATGGCAAATTTCATCACGTCGAGTGGAATATAGAAGACAATACTGTAGAGCCAGATTACTCCTGCCCAACCCCAACCAATTCCTTGTACCTTTGCAAAACCCCAGTTGGCATATACTGCTATTAATGTAGCAATCAGCTGAGTAATGAGGAAAGCAATGACTAAAAGTGCTCCAGGGCGTTCAAGAAACGACCAACCACGAGAACGGGTCACAAATATCAAAGCCTGGCTAACTATACTGACTTGAAGATACAAAGCAGACATCATTTCATCATGATTCAGATGCCTAACTCCAAATTTGTCAGGGAAGAATTGATTTTCTTTAATTGCCCAGAAGAATATTACGGTCATCAGAGCTAAATAACCTCCAAGAACAATCCCAGTAGCAAATATTTCATTCAATTTCCAGCTATCGGGTAAGGGAGATGGAACCACCCTATCTTTTGAAATTGTCATGATTGAGATCAGGTAATGCAGCTGTTCAGAAAGTTTCTCAAAGTTCTGTGGAGTTGACTTGTAAGCATTGGAGCCGGTATATGGATCACGAAACGAAGCATCGAAAGTAATATCCTTTTGTCCACTATTTTGAAGTATGAACTGTACGACTTGTTCGCGAAAGGAAAGAGGAAGACCCTCCTTGAGTAACCATTTATCAGCAACATCATATGCATTATCTGATCGGTTGTATGGCAACTTCCTGATAGGTATACCATCTCCAATATCCACATCAAACACATAATCATACTGAGCACCATCGAAGAGAGGGCGACTTGATCCTTCTGGTCCATCAACAACTTCACCAATTTTATCCCATTTCTGTTCTGCCATGTTCCATGCATAAGCCACCCCATTATCTCCCTCTTTAACTACTTTTGTCTGGCCATCAGAAGTTCCTGGGATCTTCAGTGCATCCAAGCCTGGTAACTCCTCCAATTTTAATCCACCAACCCTCTTTCTGCTAGACTTGTACTGCGAAAGTTGCGAAGTGTATAAATCAAGCTCTAGCTGGTCAGCGAAATAATCTTGATTTATGGTCCAAATGCGTACAACTCCATCGGAACATGCTGTCACAATATCCCCATTTTCCATAAATTTTGTATCCCAAACACAACCGGGATGCTCTATGCTCTGAACACAAACTCCATCTTTCCATATTTTTGAAAAACGGTTTTCGCTACCACTGACAATAAGTCCTGATGCATGTGAATCAACTGAATAAACAATTGCAGTATGACCAACCATCTCCATTAACACTTCACCACTTACTGCCCATAATCTGAGAGAACCATCATGGGATGCAGATAGGATTCCTAGATCAGACATCACAACCAAGCCACGAACTGTATCTGAATGTCCTTCAAAAGAAACTCCAAACACATTGTCGTCGTCAAATCTACCAACGCAGGCCACCCGAAATATCTAACAGATGTATGCACTGAATTTGCAGATAATACAAGCATTCTGTTTCCAGTTGTCACTTTCCAGGACAACAAATTTCCAGATCCCACTTGATTTGAATCAATCAACTTTTATCTGTCACCTTTATTCTGTTCATGGTTGCCAAGACAACAATTTTCCAGAGCCCGCTTGATTTGGATCGATCAACTTGTATCTGTTACTTCTGTAGCATCTTCTGGATCATTTATATTGGAAGTTTGAAATGCTCATATGAGAACTTAAGCACAACTACCCAAGCCGAGTATTGTAAGAACCATACTCGAACAACCCTTGTGGAGAAGCACAAAAACGTACAGCCCATACAACCGAAAGAATATCATGATTTTGTAACCGGTTTTATTGCCAAATGTCTCTCAATCAATATATCCACAAACGAGCGAATCTTATTCCTTTGCTTAAAGTCTAGAAACTCACGAACAGTCGTGCCTTTTTCTGCATCCGTAGTTTTCACATCCTCAGTAATAGAGACTGCAGGTTTCAAATACTTCTCCAAAATAGTTCTCGAGTTGCTAGATCTGGTCTCTGCCAGCCATGCGATCTAAAAATTCTGATATAGCAACTTCAGTTTCACGTTTAAGAAGTCTTCTTACTGAAACCCATGTGTCCGTTCCTAAGACTGGTGCCACTCCTAACATAACCGAAACCAATGCAGAGCGAACATGTTGAGATGAATCTGTCGATAACTCCTTTACACATGGTAGAATATGTTGAATGGCTAGTTCAGGACTTAATGTGCAGGAGAACTTAGTCACTTTCTCAGCAGCAGCAATACGTAATTCCGCCTCATTATCATGCAGCAGCCGAACATAAGCGGGTACCAATTCCGTCTTTTGTAAGAGTACTTTCACCGAATTCATCCACCAGACAGAGATCGTGAAGTAGCATGCTCAGCATCATCTCTACTTTTGTCATGTAATGCCGTCAGTAACAGCTTTTGTGCGAAAGTTTCATTTATTGATCTAGGAAACATACAAGCTTCATCGAGAAGAGCAGTAATGCCTCCAGGATTCTTTTCAATGAAATCCAACATATTTTGATTGCCAACAAACTCAATGTAACTCCAATCAATCTCCTATTTCTTGTATTCTTCTTGCTCCATTGAACTTATCTGAATGTTGTTCATTGTTAGCTTCATAATGCCGTATAATTGGTCTAGGTCCTGTAGAACTCCTGCCCTTGTTTCCAAAGTCCTCCAAGTCATCAACACTCTCATCAATCATAATGTTGTGGACACCATTAGAATCATATTTCTTGCCAAAAACAATAACCTGCAACTTGTCATAACCAGCAAGCACACCAGCACCAGCCACAGCATGGAGGATGTTAGCACCAGCTCCCTTGAACAATGACTTGGTTCCCTCGTTCTTGAGGATTTGTTGGAATGCATCCAAGGAACTCTTGTACTTGACAGCTTCTCCTGATGTCATCATCATTCTTCTCCTAACTGTGTCAATGGGGTATGAGGCTAGACCAGCACCATTGGTGATGAGCCACCCAAGTCCAAAACTGGCGAAAAACCTATCCTGCAATTTTCCAGTCAGAAGAACTGGTTTGAGGGAATCATACATTCCAAAGTAGAGACCACGGTACACAATGATTCCAACACAGGAAATGTTGAAACCACGGTAAAGCCCAGCAACTCCACCAGTTGCGAGGGTCTTCTTGTAGACATCGACAAGACCGTTGAATTGTCTTTCTCCACCCTTCTTAGCTGCCTTAGCGTCATTGGCAAGACGGGTACGGGCATAGTCAAGTGAGTAAACAAACAAGAGGGATGAGGCACCAGCAGCACCTCCGGATGCCAAGTTGCCAGCAAACCACTTCCAGTAACCATCTCTGTCCTTCTTGAAGTTGAAAAGCCTCTTGAAGTAATCTTTGAATGCAAAGTTCAATGCCTGAGTGGGGAAATAACGAATGACATTAGCAGTGTTTCCTCTCCATAGAGCAACCAAACCCTCATCGGCGGTTGTTCTTTTAAAACAATATCACCAATGCCCTTGTATGGCTCAGAAAGTCTGCCAGTCTTGATCATCTCATCCTGGTTTTAGATCAAAAGCTTAACACGATCAATGGGAGCAGCAGCAGTTTTGGAAACTGCAGCTGAAACACCACCCATGAGAAAGTCAAAAAGAAAATGACTCTTTTCTGCTGGAGCAGCAACAAACATAGGAGAAGCATTGGTTGCAACTGAAGATAAATCAACAGTTGTTCTGCATGCAGGAGCCAACGCAGCGTTTGAGTAATTCCCATAGGAGTATTTTTGGAACATGGCAGGTTGACGGAAGCTTCCACCATAACCTGATGAGACACCAGATCGACGATGGATCTGTCCAGTGACCTTCTCCATGATTGTAGGGTGTTGATCAACCATGGTGACTTATCCTTTCATGTAGGGTTTTAGCGATAGGATGAGAGAACGAACGAGAGAGACGCAGGAAGATGTTTGTGTGGAGGTGTGTGCGTTGTTTGAAATTGATCTCCTTGCTTACTGGATTTCTTGCGCGAAAAGGTTCGAGACAACTGCTTTTGTAATCCCGCCGAACCTTTCTTAGCAAAATCTCTTGCTTGTTTCCATCTCTCGCGAGCTTGTACCGTTTCTCTTACGTGTTTTGTCGCAGCTTCTCTCGAGTAATGACCATGAACTACCTCCTGCTTTCTAGACGTCTGGTGCAACAATAAACTAAAACATGCACATTGGATAGCCCACAAATTCTGCCAACAAAGAATTACCTATACTGTGCCAACCATTGATTACACATATCAAGCACAGGAAGTGCATTTGTATGCAGTGCCTGATGAGCAACATATTGAACACCAGCCACACTTCCACTTCGCGAAACAATTTGAAATGCACTTTTTAAACGGCCACAAACTACACAAGCAAGAACCTCAACAGAAGACGGGGCGTATCCTTCCTGATTTGCTTGCGGACTCCAAAGCTCTTGCTGAAGATTTCTATCAACCCAGTCTTGATTTGTCACTCTTCTAATTCAGATAGCTGCTGAACACGAACCATATTTGAAAGACCTTGAATAATAACTATGCCTTGAAAATGATCTTGAAAACTTGTATGATGCATTCCTGTCTTGAAAACTTGAATGACATTTGAAAATTGGACTTTGAATTGTGACAATCATCTTGTCTTGTTAAACTCTTGACAACCTTCAATCATGCTTTAAAATCACTTGGAAATGACACACTTAAATGAACGCTTTGTACTTGCATCCCATAACAAATATCCACCAATCTTGACTTGCACAGACAAACCTTTGAATCTTCGGTTAAAACTGAATCTCTTTGAGTTTATCTGAATTAATATCGAGGAAAATAAATCCATAGATGAACACAACCTGTACTGATGAATCTTGACCATAATAGTCTGAACCAAACTTCTCATATAACACTGCTTGATAAACCACTGGATTTCAACACCAGACAATTTGACCTTGAACAATCACATTTCCTGAGAAAATAGCCCACTACCACGGGTAATTTATAATTGAAGCAAACTCTTGATAGTTTGACCAAGATGAGGTCAAACTTCCATCTGATTTAGACTTGAATGAATATCCTTGACATCAACCTCCTTGCAAAACCCTAAACACACAAAGAAGAGGAAACAAGCAAAAATGTAAAATATTTTTGGTATTTTGGTTAGAGGTTAGTAAACATAAACAATAAAAAGCAAGTAAAAAAACAAATAAGGGTGGGAGAGCCAAAAAGTATGATCTTGTTTGCGTATGTAATGATGCAAATGAAATGTGGGATCTTAGGGGTAAAAATTAGGGTATTACACCCTCATCAGTGTCGAACCCATTATGTACCTCAACATTCAACCCATCACTATCATCAACACCACCACCTTGTACATCATCATGTTGTCCCTCACCATTCTACATTAGGGATGTTCAAAATCAAATCGGGCAATAGAAAACCACTAATTGAACCTAACCAAACTGAAAATTGAAAAAAAATGCATTTGATTCAGATGTGTTTGGGTAATATTTTAACAGAATCGCGCAGTTCGGTTTTGTTTGTGGTTTGTATTGTGAAAACTAAACCAAACTAAACCAAAACCACATTATATTACAACTCACTCACTTAACACACATCCAACCCAAACCCAAACCCATTATTATTCCTTAGTCTTAAAAGTGGTAATATTTTAGTCAATAAAATTAAAACCAGAGAGGAAATCCTATTAACTAAAGTATTACTTCTCTTTTCAGAGCCTTAACCCAAAGCTATTCACTTACCAATAACGATTTTCTCATCCCAGGGTTTATGTTTTTGCCTTCTAATCTCTCCTACTAGTCACACCTTCTTCTTATCTTCATCTTCTTCGCAAGGTAATTCTCTCACATTCTTCTCTAATCTCTCTTCTCCTGTCTTTCTTTTCATCTTCTAATCTTCCCCTTTTCAATTTTGTTTTTTAATCTTAGATATGACTATTGACAAGGAAGTTTGTTATGTTGTTGTCTCTGATACTTCCATTTTCATGGATAGAAATCAAGTAAAGTTTCATAATGACGATATATGAATCTTTTTAGTTCTGTTTATCTAATTTGGAATAAATAAATCACCAACCCAAGCAGTTGCCGATGTAGATGACAATTGGTGTTTGAACATACTTATCAGGGCTGCTTGTTGGTGCTTTCATCGTTGCTTTGTCACTTAAGGTGGTTTCTTTATCACACTTGTTGATGTTCTATAAAAGTCCTTTTAAAAGTTTAATTTGGAATTGTTATTTTTTATTTAGTAATGTATGAATGACTTGATATTTGTTATGAATGCCTTGGTATTTCTTAGCATACCAACCCAAACTGTATTTGTTTAGTTTGGTTTCTAAAGCCAACAAAACCAAGTCGGACCACACATTTTTTATCTTATGATTCATACGACTTTTAGTATCAAAATCGCACTGAGAACACCCTACCATGCGCCTCGCAATCCTATCTAACTACTTCTTTATAAAGTTTAGCAAGCAAGTCTTCTTCCTCCTCAAGATTTATAATCCCCTTAGAATTTAAGTCTTATTCCTTTAGAGGACCCTCGTAAAGCTCATGCTCATACTCATCATGTTGTATATAAATATCAACACTCAAATACACCTTACAAAGATCTGCAATATCTAATACCTTTATCATCAATCAAACCATTCATCCCAAATGCCAGGTTCTTGTACTATATTCTATCTATTTTCCTATAACTCAATTCCTTCACTATACCTACCAACTCAAAATAAATCCACTTGTTAACACTGATTTTTAGTTCAGTAATTGTTCCTCCTTCATATACAGTTAGTTCATTGTCCAAAAATGAACGACCATGATGAATCAACTAAAGCAAATGTTCTTCCATTACTACACATGTCCAATAAAATTATAATTAGAAAGGGGGTAAAAAATCAAGATAACACTAAAACGTAAAGCTAAAACTTAACATAGAGCTACACATAAACACTAAAACTTAAAACTAAAAATGAAAAAACCTAAAACCTAAAACAAATTACAGTTGAAAAAAAAATCCTAAAACCTAAAATAGATAACAGTTGAAAATGAAATATCCTAATAATAGCTGAACACGAAAAATCCTAAAACCTAAATTAGAAATGGGATACAAATTACTAATCGGGTTGAAAACCGAGTCTTCAAATGCGCCTCTGCACTCGTGTTTCTCCAAAAATGCTTTTCTCACCTTCGATTTCACCTATGCAATCCTTCTCTCCAATGTCTTCATCGTATTCTCCATGAGCTATTCTCACGTTAGGGTTTTGTGAGTGGAAAAATGAAAATAAGAAACCAACTTTACCCAAGCCTTTCCCTTAAAATAATCAGGCGTGCAATGCTTTTTAATTTAATCTCTACAATCAGCACCAAATGTACATGACATGACTACTACATTTGACTTTGACTAATAAAGCTAATAGAAAGGACAAATGTGATACTGTTTAAGAAATAAGATATTGATTTGTTTTTTTTTTTTATTAAGTTAAGGAACCAAAATGGGTTGCGATATAAAAATAAGGGACGAAAAAAAAGTATTTAAACTTTATTAAAAATGTCAAATTTCTTCAAACTTACTGTTAAAGAGTATAAAATATTATCATGAGATTAATTCAAAGATTCAAATCAGAATATATACAAGATTGAAATCCAAACCAATTTTTAACAAAAATTGAATGTCCTAATTTATAAAGTGATTTGTTGTAGAATAACCACATCCATATTTTAAAATCCAAAATGTAATAAGGACATTTTATGGGCGTCCATATTTTAAAATCTAAAATATAATAAGAATATTTTATGGTTACTATAGAATGTCAGATCCCTACATGAGAATAACCCAACAACACCCTATCAACAAAGAAGCATTTCATTGAGTATTTTTATTTATGGATTCATTTTTTTTGTAATATAAAAATCTATAATATTTTTACAAAATATTATTTATTGAACATTTATTTATATATGGCAATGCTAGGTTGTTGTAATGAGGCCAAAAGAGAAAGATATTCTAGAAGCAGCTTGTGAGTCAGCAAAACAGAAGGAGGGCCCACAAAATATACGTGGAAAGGATTTGGCTAACAATAATGCAGAAATATCGGGCATACGCACAGAAGTAAGGTCACGCAAACCGCACACTATGTGGAGGGACTATGCGAAGGAATGATTCAGAACATATACTACAGTAGTGAGAAATTGTAAGGTTATGTGATGAGTAGAGTTGTTATTCTTCTCCCTCAAACTTTTCTTTTCACATGTGGATTTCCATTGTATTGCAACTGTTTGATTAAAGTCCTTATATAATTTTTTCCTCATTGCGTTTCCATTTTTTTGTCTGTTCATTCTTAGTACTGTTACACGGGTGCTTTCATTACCATTAACTTTGTTAACCATGTGATACAACCTAGCATTGTCATCTGTATGGGTATGGTTGCATTGCGCTAATCGTTGTCCATCTCCCAATTTTTGAAAAGAAAAACAGCAAGATTTCACATTGGAATGAAACTAACTTGGTTTTAATTTTAGTTTTGTTATTTACAAAATGACTTATATATATATATATATATATATATATATATATATATATATATATATATATATATATATATATATATATATATATATATATATATATATATATATATATATATATATATATATATATAAGTCATTTTGTAAATAACAAAACAAAAAAAAAAACTAAAACCAAGTTAGTTTCATTCTAATGTGAAATCTTTATATATATATATATATATATATATATATATATATATATATATATATATATATATATATATATATATATATATATATATATATATATATATATATATATATATATATATATATATATATATATATATAT